TATATATATATATATATATATATATATATATATATATATACATATACACACACATATACACACAGACCCTTTCCAAAAAATTAGAATATCATGGAAAAGTTGTTTAACTTCCATAATTCCATTGAAAAAGTTAATCTTTAATAGATGCTAGATTCTAAGAACACAATTTGGGGGGTGGTGGCGCAGAGGTTAGATAGGTGGGCCTGTGATCCGAAGATCGCCGGTTCACGCCCCGGCCCCGACAACATCAAAATTGTGGGTGGGGTAGGTGAAACACCCACACTTGCCCCCACCCTCATTCGCCCCACCCTGGGCCCATGAGCAAGGCCCTTAACCCCCACCATGTGCTCCCTAAACAGGTCTCTCTTGAAAATGAGTTCTCGTGGCTCAATGAGACTAACCTGGATAAATAAAGGCTAAATGAAAAAAATATATATAAACAATTTCAAGTATTTATTTGTTTATTTTACATAATTTGGGCTTCCAGCTCATGAAACCCACGAAAACAGGATTTTTAAAAAATTAGAATCATTAGGATCATTGTCCTGCTCCATGACCCAGTTTGGGTCAAGCTTCAGCCGTCAGATTACACTCTGGGATATACTTGATTTTACTTTGTGTTCTACTAGAACAATTGCTTTCAACCCCTTGAGCATTCTGTCCTAACTTTTAAAATAACTAAACCTCACCTAAAGTTTGCTCTGTAATTTTGTAATGTCATGGTAAAGCCAAGACTGAGACGATTAAAGCATCTATACCAAATGTCCTAATGCATGCTCAATAACAACAAAGAACTTCTCCAGAGGACTTGACTCAACCTTGTTACATCCATACTAAATAATAAGCAGCAGTGTAATGAAGGCTTTGCTGACTTCTACAAATAGAAGCAACTGACAGCAGATGACTAGAAGTGATAACAACTGCAGCAACAGCATCTGTGGCACTGGTACTGTGAAAGCTCATCACCATCAGAGGAAACTGTGTTGGAGCGCAGTAGTAAAGAGTTCTATGATTTTAAAAGGCATGCACATGCTTTTTTTTATTTAACAATGTCAGGATTAAGGCCTTAAGTCTAAATGAGGAACTTGTCTTGCACTTTTTACAACCATACAACAGGAGTTCTGTTTTCCTCTGAGCTTGGAACGTCTAAATGAGTGAACAGAGACAGCAGTGAGAACAATCACAAGTCCAAGGAGTTGATTGCAGCCCTGGAGGAGGAATCAGCACAAGAACTTCTCACAGCTCTTTAGTTTGTGCAAAAACACGAAATTAAAGTGAGTCACCTTTGGCATTTTTCCACAGAAAGACAATTTAAAATTTGGTTCTTTGACATATTATTTGTTCTGAGTAGAAATGTCGCTGTTTCAAATCCGGTCTTTGTTGATTTTTATGAATAAATTATTCAAAGTCAGTGTTAAGGGGCTTAATGAACAAGAAAACCTCTCAAAATGATCAGCAATTAGACTGAAAAGATAATGAGGGGGAAAAAAAGCATCAATAATCATTTAAAAATAAATAAAACAACTTTTGATTAACCTACTAAAAGCCCAGGGAACTAATGATATAACACATTTTTAAAATAGTGTGGCCTTTTTGATGTAAAATATAAAATTATAAGGGGGGGAGGGGGGTCACGACTTTTTTCCCCAATGTAAAAGTTAAGCACATCACTGAAAACAGACAAAATAACTTGAAAATGACTCACCTCATCCAATTTGGTTTGTTGACAAGGAAAAGAGAAAGTGAAGCCCAGAGGAAGCCTTTTATTCTTTATACCCATCTTCTCCAGAAAATTAGCCAGACATTCAGCTACGTGGTCAAATAACTATAAGGAAGAAAAGGTTGTTCTCATTAAGAGCTGAGCAGTGACTGCACAGATGCTGCAAGAATCAAAGTCAATTCTGAAGCCGTTGTGTTACGTTTTAAGTATCTCTGGAGCCGTTTCATTGACAGAAGCAAATGTTTCAATAGTGCATTGGTGGACAGAACCAAACTGTTCACTGCATTAAGGAATCATATCAGTTACATCAGATTTAAAAAATAACTTATTTTATAAAAAGAAAAAAAGGCAAATACAAAAACAGGCATTGGTTGATGTCCAATATATTTACACACCAACTGTTTGATGTGCACAAATAAAATGTTAAAATTGTACCATTTCTTGTAATACTGTTTCTATTATTGCTTTTTGTACCTTCACTTTGCATTAAGAGAGTTATGGTGATAGGAATAGTAGGAATTATACCCTATTAAAGCACTGCATGCCTATTTTAACATTTAAAAAGTTTTACATCTATGATGTTAGAGCTTTAGTTAGTTAGTAGTTAGTAAGGACATACATACTGTATTTTCAGCCAAGTAGCTGAAATCAGTCAAAGGTCTTATGAATTTTAAAGGACATTTACAGGCTTGTTTGGAAGGTTGTCACAGTTTGATCAAGCCATAAATGGTTAATAATCAGTTAATTTTACAGATATGGAGTTACATTTCTTTTAGTAATAACTAGGGGTGTAACGGTACACGTGGGTGTATTGAACCGTTTCGGTACAGCTTGTTCGGTTCGGTCTATGTGTGTACCGTTTCGGTTATTTTTCGCTCATTAAATTTTATTAACGAGAGATTATGTGCCCCGGAACTAAAGTTCCTACGCGTATTTCAGCACGGTGCTATTACTTTGCAGCACGCGCAGCATTAGCAGCCTAGCAGGCAACGAACAAGCCATGTCGTTGTGGTCTCCTGTTTGGGAACATTACGGCTTTCTTGTTAAAAGACAAGTGAACAAATCTAGTAAGTAAGTAAGTAAAACTTTACTTATATAGCGCTTCTCAAGATAAAAATCACAAAACGCTTCAACAAATCAGATAAACAAAAGAAGCAAAAAACAAATTCAGGCAAAAGCAGATTTAAAAGATACGTTTTTAGCTGACCTTCAAAAGAAATCACTGAGTCCAGTGATCGGAGAGTTTGAGGAAGAGAGTTCCAAAGTCTTGGAGCCACGGAAGAAAAGGCTCCATCTCCTTTAGTTTTCAATTTTGTCTGGGGGACAGTCAGCAGGCCTTGATCACAGGACCTCAGAGTTCTGATCGGTGTGTAGGGATGTAAAAGTTATGTTATGTAATTTGGTGTTTGACCATGTAAAGCTCTCCAGGTTAAAACCAAAACCTTAAAATCCACTCGATGTTGAACTGGGAGCCAATGCAGTTGCTTTAAAAGTGGTGTTACATGGCAATACTTTGATGATCCCGTCAGGAGTCGAGCCGCAGCATTTTGCACAAACTGCAACCAGTCTAGGGAGGTTTTGTTTAAACATGTATACAGTGCATTACAATAATCCAGGCAAGATGAAACAAATGCATGAATTAACATTTCCATTTCTGGACGGGAAACAATATGGCTAAGTTTGGCAATGTTACGCAGATGGTAGAAACAGGAACGAACCAGAGACTTGATATGATTTTCCAGAGTAAAACAAGAGTCAAAAGTTAGCCCAAGATTTCTAACCGAAGACTTAGCTAAATGACCAAGAGGTCCAAGGTTCTGCTTTATCACTGCAGTTGTTTTTTTTCTGGAGCAAAGATGATTACTTCAGTTTTCTCGCTGTTCAGCTGAAGAAAACTTTCTGTCATCCAGCTTTTAACTGAATCCATACAGTTGAGTAAGATTTGTATTTTTGAAACCTCATTTGGTAAAAAAGAGATGTACAACTGAATGTCATCAGCATAACAGTGATATGAGATATCCTTAAAAGATGACAGTATTGGACCAAGAGGGAGCAGATAGAGCAAAAACAACAATGGCTTCAGAACAGAGCCCTGAGGAACACCAAAATGAACAGGGCAGGACTGGGATCGGAAAGTAGAGGAAGCCAAGAAGACAGATCTATCGGACAGGTAAGAGGACAACCATTTTAAAGCAGAACCTGAAATACCAGCCCAGCTCTTCAGCTATCCAGCAAGGTCAGATGATCAACAGTGTCAAAAGCCGACGTCAGATCCAGCATAAGCAGCACAGAACATTTTCCTGCATCTCGTTGCATCAATAGATCATTTGAGGCCCTAAGGAGAGCTGTCTCAGTTGAGTGGGATTTACAAAACCCAGACTGAAAATGGTCCAGAATACTGTGTTGATCAAGAGCAGCAAACTGCTGGACCACAACCTTCTCAATAATCTTTGCCAGAAAAGGAAGTATGGAGATTGGTCTGTAACTGCTAAATGAAGAGGAATCTAAATCAACAATTTTTAAGAGTGGGTGGATGACAGCACTCTTTAGGCAAACAGGTACTTGACCAGAAGCTAAAGAAGCATTTACTATGTTCAGTACACTAGGACCAATGCACTGAAAGACACCCTTAAACAAGCCTGCAGGTAGAATGTCCAGAGAGCAGGAGGATGTCTTCATGGAGCTAACAAGCTTAGCGAGCTCATGAAGGGACACTGGCTGGAAGGAGTCTAAAATAACAGGCCGAGCTAGAGAGGGAACAGTCAGCCCAGGTGCGGGTGAAGCAATATTATTTCTCACCTTACTGACTTTGTCTATAAAATAAGAAATAAAAAGTTGGCAATCCTCATTTGAAGAGATAGGAACAGAAGGTGAAGCTGGGGTGGTAATGTCCCTGAAAGTATTAAAAAACAGTTTGGAGTTTCCTTTGCTCCTAGCAATCAGGTTAGAGAAACAAGTTGCCCTTGCTTCTTTAACTGCATTGTTAAAAGAGGCTAAAAGATCCTTTAAAAACAGAAGATGCACCTGTAGATTAGTTTTCTTCCACAAACGTTCAGTTTTTCTGCAAGAACGCTTTAAACATCGAATGCTGTCATTTATCCACGGTGTGGGGTTAGAGACAGGCAATGACCTCTTTTTGATAGGGCAAATATTGTCTAAAACAGAAACAATGTTCAATAAAATGATCAGTCAGTAAAACTACATCATTAAAAGGAGATAAAAATGGATTTAGCTCAGTCAAAAAAAGGTCTGCTGTTGAGGAGTTTAAAAAGCGAGAGCTGACTTCACGGCGAGGTGATTGCTGTAAAACAGTTTGATATAAATTAAAATGAATACAGTGATGATCAGAGATAAAAATGTCCTCAGAAGACAAACAATCAATATTCACACCTGAAGTAAAAACAATGTCCAAGGTATGCCCTTTGGAGTGAGTCGGTCCTGACACATGCTGAATGAAATTAAAAGAGTCCATTACACTGATAATGTTCTTTGCCAAGGAGTCAGTGACGTCATCAATGTGGATATTAAAATCACCAACAATAACCAGCCTGGACAGATTTAGAGTAGCTGATAAGAAGTCACTAAAATCCTTTAAGAAAGTACCATTTGGACCAGGTGGACAGTAAACCACTGCACAATAAAATGGGTTCTTAATCCCAATTTTAAAGAGCTACAGCTTGAACGATGCAAAACGTCCAACATTAGACGTGCGGCAGGAAAACCCGTTTCTAAACATGGCTGTGAGGCCTCCTCCACGGCCAGACAGCCTTGGCTGGCTGATGAAAGAATAGCCACCAGGACACAGTTCGATAAGAGAAATAAAATCTGAATCACGTTGCCAGGTCTCAGTTAGTAACAAAAAAAATCCAGATTTCGAGATTTTATGAAGTCGTTCAGCACGAATGATTTGTTAGTAATTGAACAAACATTAAACAGAGCCATATGCAGCGGGGAAGAAGGCGGGGTACTTGCCGTAGCGGCCCGTTCCAGGTGACGGAGAGACTGAGGGTTAGATCCATGGATATTATGTAGACCATCAACGGAGGGAAGGTGATGAGTCCGGAGCTTCTGGATACACAGAGCGGAGGTAGCAGCAGCGCAGAGGTCCAGATAGAACACAGCCGGGTCGGGATGTGTTTGTAAAATCCCCATCGGACCAAAAGCCAGTGCAACAAGTGGGAAGAGTTTTATGGAGTCGTTTGCCAACGACCCCACGCTTTCAGAAAAGCCTGAGCTTCACCTGGACACCGGCTCTCTTGCCTCTCTTCCTCTTTCTCCGAGATCCGCGCAAACACAGTTGAGGGTCGCAGAGAACGCCGGATGGGACGCCGCTCTCTGGTGAGAATGAGCTCATACCCGAGGGTGGGGCACGGCTCCTCTGCATGGAACCCCGAATAGACAGCAGCGTTTGTCGATCATAGACCAGCATAGGTTGAACATCCCCAATACCAAATAAAAACAGGAGTGAACAGATAAAAAATGCCGAAAAATAACGGCCATCAGCAGTTTTGGGACAACCAGCAGCGGCGAGGCCAAACACAGGCGCCATCTAAAGCTGTGTGTCGACATCGTTTCACAGAGAGTGGATCTGCAGCAGGCAACATGTCCAACCTCTTAATGCACTTGAAATGACATCATCCGAACATGAACGTCTCTTCTAGCAGCTTGGAGCAAAGACCAATAACAGCAACATTTAAACAACCTTTATCAGGTCATTCAGATCGGTCCAGAGCAATAACACAAGCTGTAGGAGTTTTTAAAGCTCTGGATCTATGTCCGAATGTTGTGGATGCGCCGGCTTTAAAGCATATGATTAAAGACTTGAGCCCCTACGACTGAGCTGCCTACGACATCCATCACATCAACACTTCAGCCAAAAAGTTGTAGCAGCACTTTATGAAAAAGCTAAAATGATCGTCAACAAGCCAGACCCTGCCACATTGATGATGAGCGAGAGATTCAACCACCTCTTATGATGACCGTGCAAGAAGAGGTATTGTTATTGTATTATTGTGATCTAATTAACTTTTTTAATTTAAAATTATAATCTTAACTCAATTTTTTTTTATCTGTGTTGTTTGCAGTCTGAGGATGATAGCAGCTGAGTCTTCTTCATCCACCAGATCACCTCCAGCTAAGAAGTCTGTAATGGCTGAACTTGTTTACTTGGCATATTTTCAAAATAAACATTTTGTAAGTCTTTATTTTGGCCTTTTTTGTACCGAAAATTAACCGAACCGAGCCCTCCTTGAAACTGAACCGAACCGACATGTGATTTTAGCATACCGTTACACCCCTATTAATAACTCAGAGTTATCCTCAACACTTACTTCAAGCGCCAACAAATCATCCAAGATACTGAAGTATCTTGCATAGGATTAGGAATAAAGTTATTTAATAGGTTTGAAAATATAAGATGATCTTAGCTTACCACTGTAGTGTGAATGGTAATATAAATATTCTAGCCCTTCATTTGCTGTCTGTTAACCAGGTGGCAACTGTATCAAGTTTGAATTAGGGCCTCTACACATAGCAAGAGGTATGCACACGGTGACAGAAGAACCCAGAGATGGGGGGGGGGGGGGGTGATGCACATTTGTGTCCAAGTTTGCTGCTGGTTGCTGGGAAACCTAAAAGTAGCTCATTTTTCTAGCAGCGATTGCGTGTTTGTCAGGTCTTCAAAAAGAAAACACTGCCATCACATTTTCAGACGTGCAGGAGGAACAAAGGGAGCATCAGTGCAGGTTCATAATGCTCGGAGATATGGAGCTCTTTCACCTGCAGCTTCTGTCCTAACACTCTACGCTTATTGTATCTTGGCATTATGCATGAAAGTTGAAACAAGATTTCAAAAATAAAAACATAAAATAAGCTTGCTATGTGATCGACTCACGATTAATAGCAAACACGGCTAAAAAAAAAAAAAAAAAAAACTCTACTTTTTATGTGTCTGATTCAACAAATTGCCAATAGAGCCGCCTGGTGCGCAAGTTAAAATAGTTTCTTCTGTTCCTGTAGGGCACAGAGCGGCTTGGGCAGCAGTAATCTGTGCTCTGCACACCTCAGCTCAACACCGCTCTGTGACCGCGCACCATCTACACATAAATGTGTTTTAGAGTGCAAGGCAAACCGTTTTCCAATTGTAAGAGGTTTTTCTTCCTGTTGCTATCCAGTAACCTATCATGGCAATAAGCATCTATATATAGTGTGCTTTATTTTGTTGCAGCACAGACCTGAACTGTGACGTCATGCGAGTATCAGTGCTTTGTCACTTTCATAAAGTGTCTAAATGAATCTCTGAGAAACATTAATGCTAAAATGATGAATGAAGTTTAAAACATTTGATGATGTGACAATACTTGGACTCTCTTGTCTGAAAATAAAAATACTGAATATTTTGATGTTTAGCTTTCACATTTAATGCATAGTTATTTTTAAAGGATCCTCTGTCCAAGATAATGGAAGAACTAGGATCCCTTTCTTGGATCACTTCATACCATCAATTAGCTGATTAATGCATCAGGGAAAGCTTGAACAAATCTTTTTGGTGTGTAGCATAATAAATCCTATCAGTGTTTACTTGATTTTTAAGCCTATAGAATCTGTTAAAAATAATTTGAGTCACCATTCAGCATATTTAATAAGAAAAGGAGATAACACATGAAGTTTATGGTTCTGAGGTTAAACAACAACAACAACAAAAAAAAACGGAACATAAAGGAAGGCCAGCCTTCTATGCTAGGTTACATTATCAGTTATTGCTAAAGGTTGGTTGTCACCACTGAGTTATAATGTTCATTTAGTTAGTGAGAGATTTAAAACAAGCCCGCCAAGACCACATTGTCACAATAAGATCTAGAGGCTGAACTTCTCCAGAGCAGGTTATGAGTTCTGCCTTTATTACTATGAAGATCTAACTGAGCTGGAAAAGTCTCCTTTGTGATCCCAAAAACTCATGTTCAGCTCAACATAGTTCAAACACACATATACCGGTGTGTTAATCATGAATGTAGTACTTTCTACCACCTTGTGCATGTCTGTTTTCAAATTTGTGTATTCTGCTTCTTTATTTTTATTATTTCATTTGTATTTTTTTTTTCTGTATAATTAAAAATTGCTACTGGATGCCTCAAATTCCACTCAACCCCACCCCCGTCTGGGATGAATCAAATATCTATCTAAATTTGTTGCACCATAGTGCAAACCTTTGGTGTTGTCACAATAATGAGAGCCAAGGTTTCTCTTTGGTCTCCAATGTGGTTGATAAGGTTGCAAGAATTCTCGATTGTATCCAGTCAATGCAATTTGCAGTCAGATATTTTCCCTCCCACTTAAGTCTTTCAACATACTGTTTAAATGTAATGAGCCAAGTGAAAAAGAAGAATAACCCACTGTATCTTTCTGTGTACGGTAAATATGCATTTAAATTAAGTTAAAATTATTATTATTTAAGCTCACATCCGAACGCATGAAACAGAGCGGAGACAACGGGAGGGGCTCTTCCCCCTTCCTCCTCCTTCTCCTCATATGGGCTCCGCGAGCATGTCAAAATTTATTTAGAAAGTACCGTACATTTAAAAACAGCTAAAGTGTTTAACAATAAAAATCAATGGTACTAATTTAATGAATATTTACTATATTTTACCAGTACTTTGTGACTCCTGGTCGCATGACCTCGATAATAATTCTGAGTAAAATTGACCAGAATATAATTTTTAAATAATTTTGGTTACATAGGTGGTGGGCACTGTTCTGTCCAATGACTATGCTTAGATATTTCTTGTGTTCATTCTGTAGGTTGAATGGTTTTAACCAGGAGTCAGACAGCGAAGCATCATGAAAACATGACGATCACCAAGCCACAGTCCATGACACGCCATCCAGTGGCTGAGTCTTGTACTACAACAAGAGCTGCACATAATGCCAGGAGCTGGGCAAAGATTCTGAGAATGAACGGTAAATACCTGTGGCTTAGAAGCTGGCGCGTCTTATTCATGTACAAAATTATGTTTTATCATAAATTTAGTATGTGCGGCTTACAGTCAGGTGTGTTCTATAGCCCAACAATTACAGTACTTAGTTTGATGCTGGTGACAACAGCAGCTCAGTGGTGTGAATATCAGCTAATATTTACGAGTTCAGCTGTTAGTGAGCCAACGAGCCGTGTCTGACTGCCTGCAGGGCATGTTGAGGGAAGTTACGAGTCAACTGGAGAAAACAGCACCGTCAGTATTGATATTGTTGCAAATAGAAACTGTAAGCATCTATTTGAGTTTATTTGTTTTATTTATCTTTAACCCTAAACAGAGTCTGACAAAAACAGGACAGTGCTGGTCATAAAATATCTTCTTGACAAGGTGTGAGAACTTACCTCAGAGCCGCTGCCTCTCATCACAAGCTCGGGTATTTCATAAATCTGATTTTCCATTTCAACTTTTTGCTCGCCATTACCCTTAACTTTAACCAGGAGTATTCTGAAGAAGGATCCACCGAGGTCCAATGCCAGGAATTCACCTTGTTCTTTGAACAAAAACAGAAGAAATTGACAAAAAAGTATGCTTTTATTTCTCAAAATGTTAATTCAGTTCACAAGAATACCTGAAAGTGTGCAATGAATGTCTGTTGACTGTTAATCCAATCATGGTTTTCGGTTTATGAAACAGTGCAGGTAATAGCTGATATAATCTGTTTCGTTTTTCTTGTGCGTGTTTTAATCTTTTTGGTATCTGATTAAAAACAAAAAGTTGTTTTGCAGGGTTGTGGTCCAACTATATTGATTCTCCATCTGGCATATAAATAATGAAAATTGCTTAAATGAATATAATGCTTATATAACGTTCTGCTTTTAGCTCTTCGTTAATAATTTTCTTTGTGCATATGTTATTCGTTTTATTTGGCATTTTTCTACTGTATGTGCAATAAAAAATAGGGGAAATGCATCTTTACAGGATCTGCACAACAATAAGTGCATAAAATCTGTGAGCCATCTATGAACAACATCACCAAAAATACTACTAAAAGTACTAGATTTGAAATGGAAGATTTTTGGCTTTTTGTATAAAGGACTCAGCTCATGTTATGTAAAGCAATTTAAAGATTTTCAAAGACAGAGGCGTTACCAGTTCCATCAGGAGTGGAGCGCACAAATGTGGGCAGCATCTTGACAGTAGCTGTAGGGCTGGTGTCTCTGCATAAGCCTTTGTCCATCTCTCGCCGGAATCTCACTGACAAATCCATCAAAGCCTCATCTGACAACTGAAGCTTTTGCAAGTACGTGTCCACCTATTAAAAAGTAAATAATTACTTTAAAAAAAAATGCAAAGAAAAGGACAATTCTGACTCAAGAATGTATCAAGTGAATCATAGCTGTATTCAACAGGATCTCTTCATGACATTTATTGTGTGTTGTCTGATTTTTGCAGTCTGGGAAAAGGGATGTGTCAATAATAAACTCACTGGAGCCTGTGACAAATGTGGTGCCAAAAAAAAACTTCTACTTTAACTCACAGTCCTTGTATTGTAGGTTGTTACACAAGATCAGTGAGTAAAGTTTTAATTGACAGTGATGTAGCTGTAAATGGTTTTGCTCTGAAGCATTATGTGCAACTGTTCGTTGTCTAAAATGTCAAGACAAGCACTGCAACGAACATTTTGTTATCCCACTTTGATTTCAAAAAGCAAAGCCTTGCTAACTTCTAATTTACACCTTGTCCTTAGTGTCATCAGATTATCAGATTAGGATTCCTCGTATACAAATATGAATTATGCATCTTATTTAATGTAGACTTGTGAGTTTAACATTGTAGTGCAGCTGACCCAAAAACAGCATTAACACGTGTGCACGTTTCAACAAGTTAGACCACACAAACACAGAAAACATGTTGAACCTGAGGGTGGTTCATTGTGGTGCATTCACGGAGTAAAAAACTGATTTTTGTTAGTACTTGATTGGCTAATTACTGGTGACTCAAGTGAAGCTTAAAAACCTTCCATTTCTGGTAACATGTTTAGCTACTGGTGCATCCGTACAATCTATGATAAAACTTGTACTGGCTAATTTTTTCTAGAATTAAAAACATTCCTGTCCACTAAAGAATGAGAAACTAAGCTCTTAATAGCCTTTATTATTTTCAAGAGGGACAGTATTATTTAGTAGCCATTTAGATTTATGTTCTATAGGACAGTTTAAAAAGACAATATAATCATCTGCTGACAGAAATGAAAAAGGCAATACAGTAGTCCCTCGCTACTTCGTGGTTCGTTTTTTGCAGATTCACTAAATCACGGTTTTTCTAAGTAAGATTGGACATGACACAATTGGCTGATTGACGGATGAGCCATGGGTTGTTTATTTAAAATAGATTATTTTAAATGAATTTGCACCGTGTGTGAAGCCCACAAGTGGAAGGGAAAGATCCCTCCTGCAGCTGATCAGCTGATCTCCTTCTCTGCCACGCACACACATTTCTCCTGCTGCAGCTTTGTGAAGGGTTAACCCTTTGCTGTCCAGATGCACAATCGATTTTTGTCTTCCAACTTAAAATTCAAAATATGTCACATCGTAAAATCATCATAATCACAAAATATAAAAGTGTTGAGTTATTTATTATTATTTTAGAACTTCATGTTCAGTTGTTGAAGTGTAATTGATCAAGAGGTACATTTCTGCTCTGTGCTGCTGAAGCTGTGTGTCATCCCTTTGATGTCCTGCTGCACTTATCTACAATTTAAATACT